AACAAACATATAGTTTGGTAGGAAAATATTAAAATATTCGTTTTCATTAATTGGCACGAGTAGCATCAAATTAAAACGGACAGATGAATCAAAGTAAAGTCCAAAAGAAGGGTAGGTTTTAACTAGCAACCGTGCGTGCCTTCCGCATCAGAACGTTTGGTCGCTCTCGTACGTGTCACCTATGACTACGAGAAATTACCTTCTGATCTTTCCCTAACTTTCATTTTTGGCTCCAGTTCGGATTTTTGGCCCTTCCCAGAATGTTTCCACAAGTTTTTGAGATTAGTCTCGAAAATTTCGGTTCTTTCCTTCCACAATTGTTTTGCACTTTTAGTTATGTTGATAGTTGTATAATGGACAAACACTACTACCCATATGCTTGGTGTCTTACTACATGGTGAACGGCTGGAAGCTTGATATGTTTCCATTTCCAGGTGAGTTAATTGGCAAGGAATAACACATACACACACCCTTCATTGAGATTCCGCTTTATCATTACTTAGTTTCCATTATTATATGTATGGTTGGCAACGAAAATTGAATTCTCTCTTTTCTCTAATATCTTGAATTGGTCAGAAGGTATGATGATTAGATTGAGCCTGATCATGGACACAAAGCTTAATTATAGTGTTTAATTGCCAGTAAACATTCTCTCTCACCTTTTCTCATCTTCAAGAGTGTTTCAGAGGGTATACGAAATGACCCAAATTGCATTTTATTTTTCAGACATGGAAGCAGCACATATGGACATGCATGTATGTTGCTTTATATATGTATATATATATATATCCCATTAAATTCATTGGTCTTTCTTTTTTCTGCTTCGTTTTCATTTCTTCCTTCTGCAACATGAATGTATTGATTAAATGAGTTTCTTTTCTATATATAGATACCTAACTAGAGTAGAAAATTGTAATGCTCTGTGGGTTCCCGTTGGATCCCCTTCTCCGTTTTCGAATATGAAGAATAAATTAAGAGAAGAAGAAAGCTAGAAAGAATACTAGCTAGCTAGTACCACTACCTCCATTAGATTTCACAGAATTGTGTAGCTACGTCAAATGAGCCAATTAAGCATGCATCAGCCTTAGTAAGTAAAGTCTAACCACAAGTCAAATATGGTGCCACACCACCTACTTTTTACTTGTGATATCTATCTGCCTTTCACAGTGTTGTTAAACAGGACAATGAGCTCCTAACCAGAATTTTGTATCTTTCTTCTTGTTATTCTCTATCACCATATCTTTGTTCGAAATTCTATATATTTTCAATTGACAACAACTTTATAAGACTTTTCTTTTTTACGGAAAGATGAAAAATATTTTTAATTTTCTGTAACATGAAATATCCTTGATGGTAATTTTCTTGTTCCTCCTCGGATGTAAAGTGTGACAAGTGTATTTTCCAAATAATAATAATAATAAGTTGTAAAAGGTGTAGATTTGCAATTTTGGTCTTCTCATTAGAGAATAGCTTAATTAAATCATTTAATCATATTCCGAATTTTGAAATATATATTTAATTAACTTTGTGTTGTTCCGTAATTAAATAATATGGGATTGATATTTATAAAGATAGATCAATTATAGTTCAAAACCGATATATTTATTAACCAAAGAAAATAAATTTACATATTTCAATAATAATAATAATATTGATACATATTTGAGATTAATTCATAAGGTTTTTTTTTCTGTGATCCTAAATTATTGTTCCACATCGACATGAGTTTCCTTTCTTTCTTTCTTCACTTTTTTCCAATATTTATAAAATATTAAAGAAATGTAATTTTCTCACTGAGAAATACAGAAAATATCTCTTTGTGACTTGTGAAAGCATATACCAAACAATATCATTTTCATATCTCCATTTTGAAAGGCATCCTCTCATTTATAATACAATGGTACGTAATCAGTAAAATAAGAAAAACAATAGATACGCCACATCCCTTTTCTTCTTATCTAGTTATGAGAATAAATGACTTACCAACTTTGGTAGTTTAGAAATATCTCGATTCTTCGTAAGTTTCAATGGAAGAAAAAGCACGTCTCACACCAAAATAAAGTGAGGTAGGATCTTTTTATAGCCATCGATTTCTCCTGGCCTTGACCTTTATAGGACTCATGTACTAAGAATAAAATATATATATACACAATTGGCTCCCCTATAAATAACACAAATCTCAATATGATTGACAAGGTATGACCATTTCTACTTTAAAAAGAAATTTAGTGGAAGAATATTTACCAAGATGAATCATTTATTGCTTACCTAAAGATAGCTAGCTTCGAGTTACTTATAATTAGTAATTTTGTACTGGTGTAACAATTATGGAACTCCTAAAGTTGAATGCCTGTTACGTATGATATGCAAATTTTAAGAATTGTTATATTATTTCCACAATAAAAGCATATGTGTTTCTATGTAATGTTGTATTTACAAAATAAAATGCAAAAGTAAGACTTAATTTCCATATTTTATTTCTCGTTATTTGGGAGGCTTTGCAATTGATACTTTTAACCAAAGCCACTAGTTGCATTGAATTGTATCATGAGTGTCTATGTGTGTGTGTGTAGGGATGGGTGCCTGCGTGCGTGCAACTTTTCTTCGGGATGCTGTGGCTATTTCCATCAACCGTAAGTTTCGTGCAAATTAATAGCATTAATTACTGAATAAGAAATGGTGCATGTACGTACGCTTGCTTCGTATCTTTACTCTGAACTTTTACCTTCCTCCACAATTATCTCAAGCATATTGCATGCATGCAAACATATAATAATTAGCAAGCTTCATTATGAATTATAACCCACAATGTCAGAACTCATTCCGATCATCTAAACCTCATTAAAATCTTAGTGGTTATATATATATATATATATATATATATATATGGAGAGACCATATAAGTTTTTCACTCAACTAGTTCCTTTGATTAGGAAAAAACAGCATTAAGGTACTTATTAGAGAGTCATATAAAAAATATTTTTAATGTCTCACCTAGCAGTTTAAGTTTTTATATTGAAGTGGATTTTTAATATGATGTTAGAGTTTTGTTGATGAAGTGGTTACGAGTTCAAATCTTACTATTTTCAATTCAAAAGATTTTCATTTGAGATGATGTATTAGAGAATCATATAAAAACATGACGGTTTATTTACATGAATGAATACATTTTTCATAACACACATTTGCATATATCTCATCATTATATAAGGTCACTAAATTCATCAAGTTCAGCTTAACTTGAAAAATATTCAAGCTTGACCAATCTACTAATTTTAGCTGTTTAAGGTGACAGAAAAAAATAGTAAGTGTTTATTTTTTGCAGTGCGTGTGGAATAATTTGTTAGAAGTTTATAAATCCAACAATGATATTGTAAGTGTGATAATGTTCTCAGTCATGTGTATAATGGTCACGGCATACATGATGATCTCTTTTTCTTTTTCTTTTTTTTTTCTTGGGGTTACAATGACGTTTTCCAACTCTTTCTAAAATTATCTAGGATATGATTTCTATTTTCTTGTGATTTCTCAATCAAATATTAATACCTCTTCACCATGATTAATACCTTATTTTCGCATGTATGCATTTTAGTAGAAAAGCATCCCTTCGCTTTTTTTTTTCTCTTTCTTCCCATGTGTCTTTTAAATTGGCTTTTAACTGATTTTATAAAATAATTAGATTGTTGTTGTGGAGCGATACTAGAAGTAGCATATATATATGTGTGTGTTGTGACCTCGAAACTATATAACTATTTGGTAACAAAACTGAACAACTAGTTTTGCTAATGCTTTCTGTGGCAATGATGTTGTGCCTTACAGCCTAGCTAGTTGATCATTAGCATTCTTAATTAAGTATCAACTTCAAGAGCTTTAAATTGTACTTGATCATGTAATAATATGATGGAACGTCTACGGACATCATGACCATTGCATTCGTATTTTGTTTTTCGCATAAAATAATTAAGTTAGAAACATGCATTAAATTCATTAATTGGAAACGTTAGGAGGGGAATTATATTTTCTCAAGAAGAAATAAGGGTGAGGAATACTCTAATTTCTCACATGTCAGGAAAACAAAACTCTAGATTAATAGTTTTTGTGATAGGTTAGCATAATAAAGAGTTACGTAAATGTGCTTTGCTACCGAATAAATGTTGTCAAAAAATTTCATAATCTACGAACTTTTGTTTTTTTTTTGGATTCTTCAGGATATTTCAGGTCCAAAGATTCGGACTAATCCTCGCTGTTTTGTTGGATGCATAAGACGGGGTTACCTATCAAGAAAATTTTTTGAATATTTAAGAATTCGAATTCGAATTCGAGAATACTTGTTTAAATGACTAAAGTCTCTCCACTCAAGTCAATTATCTTTAGTCATAATCTACAAAATTTTAGCTAAATGTGTATGCAAGTTAAGTATCTTATGTAGAGAGATCTAGCTACTATGAAAACGCATATACAACACTTCCTATTCTGTACATGCATGGTACCAACTTAATTTAGTTGCTAAGTCACTTGCCTTTGTATCAGGCAGTCTAAGATCAGACTTTCATGCACGCGTCGGGACATACCGGGCGAAGTGATAAATTAAAATAGGGAAAGGTCATTTAAATGTATAGATCAAAGCTAATCCAAAGACATTCCAATGAACTACAGAAAATCTGTTTCGTGTGTGTGTGTGTGAGAGAGAGAGAGAGAGAGAGGGAGAGGGAGATTGAACCACATACGTACATTTCATCATTTGGAAGAGTTATGACACTTTAACCATGAACCAAAACATCCTGAAATTTCTGTATATAAGGAGCAATAGAACATGATCTATTGTCGAACAAAGTTCATTTAAAGCAGTGCATATCGGATTACAGATCACCTTAGACAACCATTACACGTAGAATAATATAAGCACACAGAATCACTGTAACAACATAATACAACATTAGCACATACCAGTAATCATACACGTCTGATTTTCCTTAAGCACTTGTGGTAAAGGATCAAGTTCAAGCAGGTCGACCATTTGAAGCCCCACAGTTGTCAGTACCTAAGGCTGCCCTTGACGATGTGACTTCAGTTTCCCAAATGTGGCCGTGATTGAAAACCTGTGAAGAAGAAACCATAGTTTGACATGAAGGTTCAAGCATATTTGGCTGCTGTAACTGTTGTTGTTGTTGATACACGAACACGTTTTCATTGAGCAAAGAGTCCAGAAATGAAGAAAAAGTGTCGTCATTTCCATTTCCAATGAAATCTTCTTCATTACCACTTTGTAATCCCATATCAAAACCATCACAATTTGGCCGATTCTTGGTAGCATCACCAACAACCTGGTTAGGAAACTGATCCAGGTTAGTCACTGTAAAGTTTTCACTAACTCTAGTGGCTACAGCTCGATAGACCTTGCCATCCTCTTCCAGCGGAAAAGAACTAGGGTTAGAGTTTTGGATTGGAGCATTTGCAATTTCTGAGGAATTAGGGATAGGGTTTAAAGGCTTGTGGGTCCTAGGATCTATTCCTTGACCAATGAGCTTCTTGCTCAGACAGGTATTCCAGTAATTCTTGATCTCATTGTCAGTGCGCCCAGGTATCCTTCCAGCTATCAAAGACCACCTAATCCAAAAAGTAAAGCAGACAGAAGTAAGTTGAAAAACGAAATTACCAAGTAAACATCAGTCTTCAGTTATTTTGAAATTTAGGAACCAAACGATGACTTCCAAGAGCCTTGCATCTACCCATCTACCCATCTAATCTCTACTGAAAGATGTAAAACGTTGGCAAACGAAGGGGTAAAGTACAATGAGAGTTAGTTTTATAACTTTAGATAGTATGATAGCCACTAATATTAGAACTAAAATGAAGATAAAAAGAAACAATGGCATAAATACGTGCCCACATGCAAAAATACATAAATGTATAAATAGTTACCAAAAAATAAATAAAGATCACATGGTCACGATGATCGATGATGATCAAAACTCGGATTGTTAAGGGAAAGATAAAAACAATACAAAATCATAAAGTTAAAGGCCAAAAGGTACGACTCTGATACAATATTTTAAAATTTTAATTGAAACTCGGATTGGTAATCAAGCTAGTTTTTTGAAAGAGGGAGGCGAAACCCTAAAAGCAAGAGAAGAAATGAGAAAAGAAAACAGAGATCCAAACCTAATTGATGATTCCCAAAGAAGAAATTAGCAAAGCCGAGTGCATAAAATTTAATCATAACAAAGAGAATATTATATATACCTGTTACCAAGCAACCTATGAAGCCTAAGAATGAGATCTTCCTCATCTGGGGCAATACGCCCTCTCTTAACAGAAGGCCTGAGATAGTTCATCCATCGGAGGCGGCAGCTCTTACCACACCTGAGAAGTCCTGCCCGCTTTGGCAGCGTACGCCACCGCCCTTCACCTTCCTTCTTGACATAGTTTGCCAAGAGCTCATCCTCTTCTGGTGTCCATGGCCCCTTCTTTATGCCCACCTTACTACAGCACGGTGTAGGTATACTCTTGCTTTTTGTTGAAGTCCTAGAGGATATATTCCTCATCTCAACTTATCTAGTTTTCTGTCGACAACAAGAATCGAGGGTTTTGTTGGAAATATATGAGTCGTGAAGGTAAAAAGAGTGAAAAAATCGGATGTGAACACTTAATGATATGTAATTCAATGGGCATTAGTATGCTTTATATATATATATATATATATATATATATATATATATTATAATAAAACAAAGTTGGATATGGACAGGAGCTGTAGGGATGGGCGGGTGGGAGGTTGTACATGAGCCCAATGAATTTGGAGTGAAAAGTTGGATATAGTAAAACACATTAGTTGACAAGCTGAATTGGTAGGACCCGTACGTACTAGTGACCCTATGGCTTAACAGCTATAGCATCCATGTTCCTTATGTCCTTCAATCAAGTTAAGGATATATTCCTGAAAAAATGTCAAAAAAAAAACCCAAACTCTACGTTACAAACAATCAAACCCAACCACATCACAGAAGCCTAAGCATATCTCTATCCCGCTTTTTACTTATATTTTGGAAGATATCCTAACTGTATTGAGCACAAGGCCATCAAGATGACTTTAATTTGCAGAGTACGAACAGGTTCTGCAGCTCTTTCTTTTCAAGGAAAAAAACAAAACTGAAATAGCATTTTGGATTTGTTTGAATTCAGTCCACTCTCACGCCAGAAGTTCTTCTAAATTGTAAGATTGAATGATATTTGATTTGACTCTTTTAAACCACCTGTGAATGTTGCCGAATATAATTACCGAAAGTCTAGAGAGAAAATTTATGTAGTGACCTAAAAGGCCAATATCTCTGCCAGAAAAATAAATGGAGAATCACTAAAATTCCAAGATGAGAGAACTTATGCAGAGGGGATCAGTCTTGTGGCAGCACAAACATTCAAAACCTGAGGGGGAAAAAATTGTCAGTGAAGAGGAAATTGAATAGTTGAAACGAAGTGTGGTTTGTGATACTTCTAAAGGCGCAGATTTTAATACTCTCAAACAAGATTTGAAAGTTTGTGGTATTGGTTTTGTGGGATTTAGATTTGTAGGAGGTTCGTAGGCTCTTGCTACCTACATTTGGTATAAAAAAAAAAAAAAGACCTTGGATTTTTCCAAAAAGGGTATGAATGTACGTGGAACTCATTAAATTTAAGTTGTTTATTGTACTTACGAAATTTTTAGTAGTTGCAAGTTCATGTCCAATCCTAGAAACTATAGATCAATTCTATTAAATTTTAAAGAAGGGGTTTGGCCAAATTATAAGTAAAGCAAAAATCAAGTAAAAAAAGACTTCAATTTAGGAAAAGCTTATTGCAAAAAAAAGCACAAATTTCATATTTTTTAATCATGTCAATACATTCTTTCAATTAATGTTGAATAGAAAATACACAACAAATTTTCTATTAACCATAACTTTATTTATATTAGAAATTGTTAATTAATTGTTATTTTAAATTTAATTTAGTTAGAATTAGAAATAATTAAGTTAATTAGATTTATATTAAGTTTGTTAATTAGGTTAATTATGTTTAATTGATTGAATTAAAACTTTATGCATATTAGAAATTGTTAATTAATCGTTATTTTAAATTTAATTTGGTTAGAATTAGAATTAATTAAGTTAATTAGATTTATATTTAATCAATTAATTAGGTTAATTATTTAATTGTTTGAATTAAAAATTTATTTATATGAAACTTAGAAGTTTATTGATACTTTAAATTATTTTGGTTAGAATTAGAATTAATTAAGTTAATTAGATTTATAATTAATTAATTAATTAGATTTCTTTTGTTTAATTGGTTGAATTAAAATTTATTTATATTAAAAATTAGAAGTTTATTGTTATTTTAAATTTAATTTGATTAGAATTAGAATCAATTAAGTTAATTAGATTTACAATTGATTGATTAATTAGGTTAATTTTTTTAATTGGTTCAATTAAAATTTTATTTATATAAAATTTAGAAGTTTATTATTATTTTAAATTTAATTTGGTTAGAATTAGAATTAATTAAGTTAATTAGATTTATAATTAATTAATTAAGTTAGTTTTATTTAATTGGTTGAATTAAAATTTTATTTATATTAAAGGTTAGAAGTATATTGTTATTTTCAATTTAATTTGGTTAGAATTATAATTAATTAAGTTAATTATATTTATATTTAATTAATCGCTTAAATTAATTTTATTTAATTGGTTGAGTTAAATTTTTATTTATATTAAAACTTAGAAGTTTATTGCTATTTTAAATTTAATGTGGTTAGGATTAGAATTAGTTAAGTTAATTAGATTTATAATTAATTAATTAATTAGGTTAATTTTGTTTCATTTCTTGAATTAAAACTTTATTTATATTAAAGCTTAGAAGTTTATTGTTATATTGAATTTAATTTGGTTAGAATTAGAACTAATTAAGTTAATTTAATTTATAATTAATTAATTAATTAGGTTAATTTTGTTTAATTAGTTGAATTAGAAGTTTACTTATGTTAGAAATTGTTAATTACTTGTTATTTTAGACTTAATTTGGTTATAATTAGAATTAATTAAGTTAATTTAATTTATATTTAATCACTTAATTAGGTTAATTTTGTTTAATTGGTTGAATTAAAAGTTTTTTTATATTAGAATTGTTAATTAATTATTATTTTTAATTTAATTTGGCTAGAATTAGAATTAATTTAGTTAATTTGATTGAAATTTAATTATTTATTTAAGTTAATTTTGTTTAAATAATTGGTTGAATTAAAATTTTATTTATATTAGAAATTTTTAATTAATTTTTAATTTAATTTTAATTTTGTTAGAATTAGAATTAATTAAGTTAATTTGATTTGTATGTAATTAATTAATTAGATTAATTATGTGTAATTGGTTGGATTAAAACTTTATTTACATTAAAACTTATTAATTTATTATTATTATAAATTTAATTTGGTTAGAATTAGAATTAATTAGTTTAATTATTTCATATCTAATTATTGAAGTGTATCTAGATTCGTCGTTACGTATCGAATGCGAAGAGTTGGAGACCTTCGAAATTGAGAAAAAATAAGATTGGCTCAATACTCTACGACAAAGTCGGAAGGACGAGTTTGGAATTTAATTTTGATAAAGTATCCAAAATAATTATTGATCTTGGTATGCGCAAATTGATTATTGGTTGATTTAATTTGTTATTTGTGTGATCATTTAGAGTATTTATTAATTGAGAAATATGTAATTTACAAGAGAGACTCGTCAAAATTTTATTAGATGTTTTAAAAAATATATTATTTAAATAACTTTGTGTTGCCTTGGAAATGCGAAGGAAAATAATGAGATCCAATCATGAATGGATGTATGTTAGGTGCATAGATGGGTATTTAAATGATGATTTTGTGAATGGGTTGAAGAATTTATTGTATTTGCTATTATTCATCTTGAATATATGTACGAAAGGAAGTTAAGGTGTTCATGCAATCACCCTAAGTTTTGAAGTTGAAATTTTGAAGAGGTTATTACGGTTAAATATCATTTAGTGAGGTATCATTTTGTGCCTAGATATTATGACTCGGATACATTATAGAGAAGTTGACTTGAGGAGTTATGTTGTATAGGGAAGTTTTCAAGAAAGGAAAGGAAGTTATAGTCAACCCCTCGATCTATATGAAACAATGGTGATGGAAGCGATCGATCCATCACTTAATCGGTTTAGCTTAGATAAGGTACCAAATCTCGATGCTCGAGTTTTTTTATGATGTGTTGAATGTAGCGAATAAAAAGATTTGGTCCAGCTTGTGACAATCACTCCAAATTGTTTGTAATTGCTCAACTAATCAAAACATCATTTTTTCTATTATGCATTTTCTTTATGTTTGCTGTGTATTCTAGATATGTTGATTTTTTTAATTCATAATAATTTATTAGATTTTTTTATCGAATTATTCTTTATTTGTTACATTGTTTCAGTTGTTATTCTTTACTTATGCCTCATAAATTAGATAGATCTAGTCACGGTGTCAATGGTTGTAGCTTTAATGTTGACCGTGCGACCGATAGCAATGGTGTACATGGGCATGGCATTACTAGTCTAAGTGTCTAAGGTAGCAAATTTGATAATGGTGTCGGCACACCTGTATCTCCTCCGACGATGCCTCCATCGGTAGTGCCTCCTGCTATGGATGGTTTTCCTATGGTTTTCTCAACTCCAAGAAGTTCTATTGAGTTTGATTATGGATGGACCATTTGGGTCGTGAATAACTAGTAAGTAATATATTTTACATGTGATAATTAGTTTTATATTTTTATATATTATATTCGAATCATTAATTTACTTATTTATTATTTATTTATTTAAAAAAATTAGTTTCATTAAGCAAGTGCTATGTAAAAATTATAATAATTTTCAAGGAGTGGTTGGACGTCGATGGCTCTATATGAAAGTTTGTCTCCATAGAGATGAAAGACTTTAACTTCAATGAGCTTAGGGTAATATATTAATTATTTACTTATATTTCATTTAAAGTGCTAACTATTTAATTATATTAAATTTTTCTTCATGTATAAGTACTTTTTATGGAATACGATCGTCATCACATTGATCGAAGATGCGTGGGAGGGCTCGACACAAAGACAGTATGACGATATGCTTAACAAGCTAAAGTATAAGAGCAATAGACTAGTGTTTGTTAAACAAGAGATGTCAAAAGCATGACACTAGGATTAGGCCACTCTCGAGTATCAAGCACAATCTCAGCAGACATCTCAAAACTACATTTCGGAGATGGGTGGTCTCGATACTAGCTCATCCAAGCATACTAAAGGGTCTATCTCTTCAATCAAGCACGTTGAGCATTTTTGTATTTATTTCATCTTATATTATTTTGTTTATTTTTATCAGCATGATAAATTGGATCATAACCAAAATCCTTATGAACTGTTCGTGATCACTCACAAGCGTAAAAATGAGACATTCGTCCATAAATGGTCGTAAATAATAATGATAAGGTTATGTATTTTTTAATATATGTACATCTATC